TCCCTCGTGTGTATGTTATGTCTATGCCCGTTCTTTCGCTCAACACGCGCGTATCCATAGATACGTTGTACACGCGTATCATGTCCGCCATCGGGAACAACAACAAAAACAACAACAACAACAACAACAACAACAATAATAATAATAATATCCCAGAAAGAGGAACAAGCATTTTTTTGGGGGGAGGAGGGCTCTCCTTCTTCAGGGGGAGGGAGGTTGCCATTATTTCGAAACCAGGGGAAGAAAATGGCTCGGGCGATCGATCGACTCGGGAATGGCGCTCGGCTCGACACGGCGAAAGCGTGAAATTTCATTTCTGCCGAATTCTGTCGCTTGCACCACGTAAATATATACACAGAAATAGATATGGACATTTCTAGAGATGCAGGGTATGCGTATGTATCGTCGAACGGGTTTATCCATAGGTGAAGGACGCACTGATTTTTGGCCAGATAATATAAATATACGAGCACCTGATGGTGCCATATCACGTGTACGGGGAAGGACACCTCTGCTGCGACAATATTCGGTCTCTCGGGACACAAGTACGGGCTGTAATGGCAATTTTCACTTCTGTGGGAAACAGTTTTCGCGAGGAGAGCGATGAGTAAAAGCGTATGATTTATTGTCAGTCGACTCTGTGGAAGTACAGAGGTCCACGTTTACGAGGCAGGCACATCGTACGGATTTTTCTGCATTTTTCATGATATGCATCAAAGTTCTTAATTTATTTTTCCTTTCTCCCTTAAAATAGCGTGTTGCTGATGGCATAGGGGCCCGGTCTTTCGCCGTGGCCTCGCCTGTCAAAGGAGTCGAATGTAATTTTTTTTTCATTTCTTGACTTTACCTTCCACACTCACAACCCGTGAATCCTCCGAAAAAGGGAGAGAAAGCCCAATTTCCGGTTGGGGCCGATCGAGCCGGAAATTAACGCGACAGAGCGTATATGTCAGGTATACTTAGGTACCATTATGTGAAAATGTGGTGGATTTTGGTGTATCGAGTCGATCGATGTACTTATACCTTGTATCCATTCACATAGGTACTCGCGAGTCAAATTTTTTTATCTCTACAACAAAGTACACCTTCAGCTATAGATTGCACGTGTGCCTGTGTTTTATAAATAAGTAGTACGACTAACTATGTGCTCCGACTTGCGAGAAAAAAAAATGGTAAGAGATTATTCTTTTCGTGTTCAAGCAAAGTTTATGCGATTTTGATAATGTCTTTTCACACCGCAAGTAGCGTTGCCGGGCCCAAGTCAAGATGGCGTCTCCGCGTATACAAATGTACGTATCTACGCAAGCTGTTAGACAATAAAATTGTAGTAATTTTTACCGTGAAATTGCGGTAAAAATAACTTTTCGAAATTGATGAAAATTATTGTGAAACGATATGTTCGTTGTGCTTATACCTATATCGGTTACTCGTTGAGAACATTGAAAAATCTTGCAAAGTAAGTACTATTTCAGAGTTTGGAATACAATTTTTAATTCATGCATGTATACGTACGTATTTTTTCTTTACCCATTAGGTCTCTACAATAAAAAATAACGCGGAGCTAGAAAAAACAAATGCATAATCTCGGGTGTAAGGTGTGTTTCTCGCGGCTGGTAACTCATTTCTGTAGACTTTAAATAAATTGTAAATCCCTTCACGTTAAATAAAAAAAAAAAAAAAAACTCATGCTCGTACTAATACACGTATACGCGACTCTGAGCTCCCAAAAATCATTACACCGAGACCGTGGCGTTTAATCGGCTCAGACGAACAGCCGATCCCCGAACGAAAAAAAAAGAAGAAAAAGCCACATAGGAGTGGCAAAACGAAAAATAAAGGGAGCGACCCGCTTGCGCTAGTCGCGCTTTGGAATTTACAAAAAAATCGTATTGACTTTGGCACACCCTGAAATTAATTGAAATTACATTGCAGTACTTACAACCTATACATCAGCAACAACCAAGCCGAAATAAGTTCTCACGTATACACATATATACATATATACGTATATTGTATTCAATGATACAGATGTGCAAGTCGGTCCGACTTTTTCAACAAGCATCGTTGAAAAAATCCACAAAACCCGAGAGCCGTACAAGATTAACGATGCGCAGCCATCTGTGTGTACCCGTGTACTATATAAAATATATACGAAGAAGACGAGAGAGCAGCGCAACCATTTTGAAGGCACGGCCAGGACACGCGGTACAACTATATAATATACGTTGTATACGTGGTACGGCTGAGAAAGGGCATCAGACAAGAAAGAAATTAAATTGTGCTTTCCAGTTTGTGTGTGTGTGTGTGCGTGCGCGTACATACCTACATCTGCATGTATATGTATACCCGTACCCATGTATTTACACACGTACGAGAGTCGGCTGTTGGTAGTACGGCTTATCAAAGGAGAAAAGGAGAGAGCACGAGGTCACATTCGGCGGAGCACTTTTTGATTAATGGATCCATATATACCATCAGGGAGAAAAAAAAAAGGGAGAGAAAAGAACCAAGCCGATTGGCTGCTCTCTCATACTCCCGGTCGATCGATTCGATTCCTCCGCTCGTTTTTCCCTCCTCCCCCCCCTACTCCTTCTGTTTTGTTCTCCTTCTTTCTACTCTCTCGCGTGGAACGAGCTTTCCATGTTCCTCCCCGTGGTGCTTTATATTACGTGTATGTACGGGGGAGAGTGGGGCAATCCTGATATTGACTACGTTTTTCAACTGACACAGTTTTTTAACAACTACACGACATTAGAAATTCCTCTCACTGTACGTAACATATATACAAATGGATATTTATACAACGATTTGGTTGTATACTTATCCGGGACTTTTTTGACGTATCAAGTTTGGCCTGTATACAAGCGTGGGGCAACAAGAACATTCTTTTTTCTTTTTTCTTTTTCGTTTCTATGAGCACGACTGCTTTACGGGGATAAAATTTTGCACACGCCATTTACCCGCAGTATTTTCAACAGAGCAAATCACCCGTGCGTGTAGGTATAATATAGAATGACTGAGTGTTATACGTAAATTCCATCTTTTTTTTTTTTTTTAATGGGATTACTCAAATATTTTGCATCAGATTTTTGTGGAATCAACTTGGCGCATACATGACTGTAGGTATACATAATTAAAACTCTTTTTCTTTGGAAATAAGTTGTATGGATCAAAAAATACAATTTTTTTTTAATACAAGTTTTACTCTAAGATGTAAAGTTGTGAATTGATATTTTGTAAAATCCGAAAACAAGGAAAATTCACTGTATGTCTTTTGGACATAGGTGGACGATTGGCGAGTGGTAAGCACCAACAAATTGATAAGTAAAATATAATGCTTGAAAAAACAGGTATAAAAGAAATACAGACAGCTGCGGTTTAACGAGTCATGTCGACGACGGACTGCACGTTTGAGTTGGAGGAAGCAAGAATATGTGTATCGTAGAGATCCAATATTTTTATCAGAAAAATAGTTAGCAAACAAATTGATTATTTGAATCATAGATATTCGTATGAAAAAAAAAGTTCTTTTCTCACAATTATTATACCGTTTGACGCGACTGAGAATATTTTTTTATAAATCGTGAATCCAGGTATGCAGGTAAAGATATAACTATAAATTAAATTTTTTTTTTTTTTTTCTTATAGATTTTACGCAACATTTTCCGTATGGGTCTACATAATATATGTGGGTGCACGCGCACACGTCCACTCAACTTATACGATATTCAAGTATATGTGCATATAGACACAAATACCTGCAGGAATCAATGTCAATCCAGACATGACATACGTACAATACCCAGTATAGTTCTATGAAAATATTATGCCAGAGAAGTGAAGGAATACTATATTTATTATGTACGATGATTTCGACTTCGAGGGCTTATTCGACTTATTTTTACACCTGTGCCCAATCACCCACGTGCGAAGGGGTTACTTCGAGTATAGACAACTGCAAAAAAAAAAAAAAAAAAAAAAACCTTGTCACTCGCGTACTAGTTCTCCACAAATAAGCACAGAATTTTAATTTTTAATACAATTGTTGCGTGCAATGTAAGATTTGATCATACTGAGTGAAATGGTGTGGATCAATTGAACGAGTGTAATTGCACTCAAAGCAGACTCGCAATTATACACTCACCTTTTTTCCTCCCGTAAGCGTGCACCTGTACCTATATCTCTTGGTAATAATATTCCGCGGAGAGAGAGAAGACGCGCAAAAGTAATCAAGTGTCGGTATAAGAAAGAAAAAAAAAAAATAAAATAAATGAAGAGAGTTCAGCAGCAAAAGTGGCAGGAGGGAGGGCAATGTGAATGTATACCTATACATTACGTGTAAGAGGGTCTAAAGAGAGGCCGGCGACGCGGCTCATCGCGTGCTCGCGAGAACGGAGCCAGCCACATGTATAACCCACAACAGCTATATACACAAGCCTGCCAGACATCAGCAGGAGTAGGAAGAGGGCGTTCCCCGGCCGCCACTCCCTTTCATGTATAGCTGTTGTTGGATCATTCTTGTGCTGGTATATTTATGTGTACGGTAAGCGCCTCTTTGGGGCTCCGTTATTGGTTGGCTGGGCCTGCAACTGGTGCGCTCCAAAAAATTTGGCCGCCTTTTTTACGCCGCGGAGCCTCGTCCCCGCATAAATATTATACCTATACCGTCCAGCGCGAGCTACACACAGTTTGTTGATTTTGGGCATCTGTTGATCTTAGGAATGGGCACTTAACCACACGACGAATTGGGATTAGCGAGAGCAGTCTCCCTTTTTTTTTTTTTTTTTTTTTTATCCGGAATTACGGAAAATTGTGTGTTATTTTTACGAATTACCACAATCTGCCATTGTTTGGCGAGGATTAAGCACTTTTTTTTTCTTTCTTTTCGCTCACAACTACTCCACTTTGGGCACCCAAAGCGCTGTTATCTTTGACAAAATACTTTTTTGTTTTTTTTTTCTTTTTCACTGTCCTTATGGGAACGAAAAATCTTCACGTACCTGTTTCCAGATCAATGGTGTACTGGAGTCCGGCCCATGGGTCGTCGTCCTTGTGCGGCTCTTCCTTGACTTCTTTAGCTTCCTTCAACTGGGAAAATGAAAGAAAAAAATTATGGCTTGCGTCCAACCGCACATTTCGCAAATGTTATTAATCTTTCGTACGATGCTCTAAAAGTAGGATCAAACAATGCCAGTTCGTGAAAGCCAAGTACCGCTTTAGCCGAGTATTGATTTATCTCGCAAACGAGTAAAACGTATCGGAGAAAAGAGCTAGGAGGTAAGGAAAAAAAAAGTCAGAAAAATTTTCACCGACTGGCTTGCGAGGCGATGACAAGCTAGTTGCATTGTTGCGCGGGTCTTCTTTTCTCTCTCTCTGGCTTTCGTCCATTCGAAAAATCCTCGAGAGCCATTCGAGGACACGTTGACTCGTACCGAATGACGCGCGTTTCGTTTTGAATTTTTTTTTCGTTCACGACCATCATCTGCCTCCTTGCATTGTGCCATTGTCGGGCCTTATTTTTTCGAATTTTTCATCTGTCGACTTTGGAATATCTAAATTTCGGTTTGAAAAATTATACGACGCTCCGACGACCAAACGAAAGCCGGAGCTTTCAATTATTGGCAACCATGAGCGATTAAAAGAAAAAAAAAGACACGAGAGCAGCGCTGACAGCCATGCAATCATTGAACGTGCTTGGAGACCAAGAGAAATTTTATGCCATTTAAATTTTCCGGGTAAAAAGGACCATCTCAAATTTATTGAAAAAAAGAATGTTCTCCAGGAAATCCATTTTTTACTTTACTTTTAAGCAGTGCTGTTACGATACACAAAGAAAAAATATCCTTGAATAATTATTATTTTGCTTTCCTGGGAAAAAAAAAAAAAAAAAAAAAAAAAAAAACGGCAGTAATAGAGTTATGAGTACTATTATTACGTGTTTTAGACAAACATTTAAACGATTCGGATGAATGAAAACAGCAGCATATAGTTAAGCTGAGCTTGACGGAACGAAAGAAAGTTCGATCACTAGTAAGAGTAAGTTTAGACGGTGAAATTTCGGCAGCTTACCGATTTAGAATGACCAAGGAAGAGGTAACGAGTGCTTATAAGTACCTATTTACAGTATAAGGTATATGGATGCAGATGACAAAGACACTTTTTCCTTGCTCAAATTGTGGCTCGTCACCCTAGTCCTTACGAGGTCGATGAAACCAACGTTTTACTTTCAGCCCTTTTCCTTCTCTCTTTGCTCATCCTCGGCTCATAAATATACATCACACACTCATCCTACGACCGTTCAATGCCTATACTTACGTCAGCTGTTGAAGCATTTTTAAATGTCCCTGCGTTTTGAAAAATGTATATATATGCTTCGCGCCAAGAGCCCTGCATAGCCCAACATTTCTATCAAAATTATTTTCTCCAAGGGAAGACGATAAGTTGTCTCGACTCGACGCCAGCCATCCGTCGGCTCCTGTTGGCCAATGGAGAAGTACAATACAACGCAAGAGCCGAAAGTAAAAATATTAAGTACGGACGGGGCACGATGAACGGATTCAGTTTGAGACGCAATAGGTTGAAAAACCAAGTTTTTTTTTTTTTTCAAGGAAAATTCGGAAATCATGAAACAGAGGGCACGGGATTGCTCGTTGACCAACCAACCGTATACACCGATGGACGCGAAGGGCAGTGGGAGAAAGCAATTTAATTAACTTATCGATCAATCAAGCCCGAGGAAGAAAAATATAATCGAAATCCCGCACATGACAAGCCGGTGGAGAGGGTATGTTATGGGCCCTATGGGCTGCATCTGTGTGCGGGGTGTACATACGAGTCGGGGGGCATCGCGGGCGGACGTGGAAAGCCCATAGCTGAAACATTCGATGGAGCGTGTGTTGTGCGCCCACATCGACACACACGTGGGGAGAAAAAAAGAAACTCATAATGATGATAACGAAAAAAAAAAAAAACACGTACAAGCTCGGCATTAGGCCGAATCGACGCAATCCAATCGCCTCCTCCTCCTCCTCCTATGAAATGAGTTCAATAAAAGCAGGCATTGTGTAGCGCACGGCCGGATCATTAATCACGCGCGCCACGGCTCCGATAGTACAACACGCAGCGGCCCGGCCCATAATCATCACCATCTTCGTCGTGCCCTTTTGCGCAGAGGCGTATAATATATATATATAAGTCGCGGGCATTGGCTGCCTTTGCTGTTTGTTGTTGGCTGTCGATCCACCGCTGAAAGCTCCGATGTGGGCGAGGACCTTGCGTTGCCGTGACGGCACTTACTTTCCTCTCTCTCTCTCTCTCCCTCTCGATTTATTCCCCTGATGGGAATTTTGTAAAAAAAAGCCCGAAGCGCTCGAATGGCTATACCATTGTACCGCATACAGCTCTAGTATAAATATCGAAAGTGGTGGAAACATATTTTCGAAAGGCCAGGTAATGGTGATTTCATCGAAAGCGCATCAAAAAGGAGAGAAGAGCACTCATGTGGAAAAAAAAACAACTCGCGTTTTTGAAATAATTGTCGAGGTCCACATGTATGGGTAAAACCTTTTTTTTTTTTTTTTTGGACAATTGATTGGCTCACGTCGAGTCACACGGTACAAAACAAACAAACGGGGGAATCCCAAAGGGTTTAATTAAAACAAAAAAAAAAAAAATGGTGTAGTAAAAAAATATCATGGGTTTTTTCCATCGCAAGTTTAATCAAACAATTTATTTTTCTTTTTTCACATCCAAAAGGTATAAGGAGACCCAACCCACGGTCAAAAACAAATTTTCGATTAACCCGAAACATAAAAATTCAACATAAACACGCGAGGCACGCATGACAATGTAATATATAGTAGATGGTAATAAATAGAGAGAGAGAGAGAGCACATATACACGAGCACTGAGTCAGACGTACCGATCGTTATTTCTGCGGGGACGGACAAGGAGGAGGTGGGTTGGCGATCCCCGTCACGAGTACATATCGATGATGCGTATCTCGTTAGATGCGCGTGCCCGGCCCACCCCGCTTATATACGCAACAGTGCCCTCGAGATCCAAGCCGCATCTCCGCGATTGTTCTTCCTCCGCTATCACAAAGCCGCGCCGCCCGCAACAACAAGACGAACGCCGTCGAGGCGCGCGCACAGTCAAAGCGAAGGGAAGTATGTGTACATGTACGCGCGAGGCCGGAGATAGACATCGGGCTATCCAAGGCCGCACCGATACGTATGTATAAACTCGGCAGGGGTATAAAGAGTCCGACCACACGTCGGGGGGGAGAAGCTGCAGGAGAGGAAAAAAAAAGGCGAGGGTCTGACGGGCAACCCGCCCAGGACGTCTCTGCAGCGTCATCATCCTCGGAGCACGAGAAAAGTATACGCGCCCAGAAGACGCTATTAAAATGGCCGACGAGGAGTGCCCCCCCCCCCTACACGTATAGGCATTCTCATCTTTATTGTACATTTTTTCCCATCTTCTATTGTACAGGTATGTATACACCTAATGTACAGATTCTTGTCTAATACATATGTAACGTAATAATGTTGCAGTAATTGTAATTGCCGGATTTTTTTGTGCAGCCTTGGATCGGTCGCTATAGCGAGGGAGGAGATTCATGTTTTTCTTTTTGGAAATTCAATATTTCCATGGACTTTGCGATCTAACGAAACGATAGTGATAAAAATGCCCACGCGTTCACGCGTTAGTGGCTTGATCGATTAATGGCCAAGTACACGGGTGTTGACGCTTGTTCGTTGGTACACACATCACGGCATCGAACATCAGATGTATATCTATGTGGCATGTACCCCACGTATGTCTATTTATAACACATGAAATGTTAAATGTATAAGGAGAGGACGGGAAGAAACAATGACATGGGCACAAAATAATGACAAAGCGCGTGGACGAGCTACCGCGGTGCCGGCGACTGAGCCTCGAATTTCCTCGAACGACCGCTCGGTTCGATCGGATCTGATAATACATGGATAGGCCTTTTGTGTACGCGTGTGCAGGTAGTGCATGTCAATTTACTTTCCATGTGTATATAATATGTACAATCCATGGAAATGTGCACGTGTTTAATCCACGCGTGTAAGCGAGTGTAGGTAGATACCTCATATACATCTGTGGTCTGCGGAGTCCACAGATAACGAATCGATGCCTACTGGTACCTATATGTATATGCAGTATACATCGTACATGGACTGCATGTATGATATACCCAACTAATATCTCATACGCCGGACACCTCGACGATTCTATCGATTTGCTCTTTTTGCAGAATCTCTAAGCGGCCGATACCGATCACCTATTACTCGTATCATGTCCAACTGCAAACGATACATGGGGAAATGTGAGTTTAGTACATGTACCAAAAAAATTAAAAACCGGAGGACTATAATGGCTGAACGGCTGGCATTGTTTTTATTACAGGGTGCTAAAATGAATACATTACAGGTAATGAGTCGATCATCGCGATTTTTTCAAACCTTGTTACCGAGAAATTTTTTCAATTTGGATTATAAAATCTATATCAAGTATTACGAAATCGTTAATAACGATTGTAAGGGTAGAATTTGCAGTTTGACGGTGCTCGTACGTACACCTGTATCGCGATATTGTAAAAAAAAAAAAAAAACAATAATGTCATGAATCACGCTTGTTGTACGTTAGACTTACTTGGTCATTGGACGCATTGATGGCCTCGAGAGCTTTGAGCTTCTCGATGTCATCCTCGGACTCCTTTTTCGACGAGGTGGCCGCACTTTTGGCCGGCACCACCGGATCGACCAGCGTGAATCCAAGGTCCACGTCCTGCTTCCACAGCACCTCTATGAGGTCCATGTCCTGCAAATAAAGGTAATTTTCACAATCACGCGTCAGCATTTTTTTTTTTTTTTTTTCAGTATATGAAAACCAGTAACTATCATTGTATTGTTTTTGTTGTTTTAGCAAGTTACAACTAATTTAGCAAATACATATATAATATTCGCGCCATGACTACATATAGGTGAAATCGATGGAGAAGCAAAGGACGGAGCGATTAAAAGTCTACTCGGGTGCTCGGCTTTTGCAGCACTTTTTCCTGTTCTTCTCTTCCTAGCGCTACGGCCGACAACAACGGCGTTTCGTAAGTAGGTACTAAAATCCTTACACCCCAACGAGCGTGAGAGAGAGAGAGAGGCATCCGAGGAAAAGCCTCCTCGACACGCTTTCACCCATCACCCAGATGATCCTCTACACCACACGGATGTTTGATTTGCGTTGTCACCTGGTGCAGGCGAGCATAAATAAACATAAACACACGGGTAGAAATCTCTTCGGGACCAAGGGTTTTTTTTTTTTTTTCACTAGATGAGCCGGTGCATTTGCTCTCTTTACTTTCGGCGCGGCAACAACTTATCGAATCCCCAAGGTGATCACGTCGACTCGGAAGTGAAAAAGTCGATTGGAAACTTTCTCCGCCCGAGCAAAGCGCGAAACTCCGCACAACTCTGTATATACGCGATCGTGGCAGGTATAGCATATAGACAAAAGAAATCGCGGTCTCTTTAGCTGTGGTTTGGCGCGTGAAAAAAAGCACGAAGAAGAACAAACAATGGCATACGTGCAACTGCTGCCGTGTTTTTCTTGTTTGTCACCGTTGACCTTTCAATCGTGTACATGTACCGAGTTTATCGCTGTTACCCCGATGATGCTTGTACTGTTCCACGAGAGTTTAAATTAATTTGAAAATGTCATCGGCGCTCCTGTTGCTGCGGGAGATCCCTCAGATTTTGAAAACTCGGCCATCGCCTCGATAGGCCAACTGGGGACTGTCGTCCGGCATGTAATATCGATTGAAAGAAAGCTTGCGCATTTATCATTACGATGCCTTTACCAGAGAGTCATTGGAGAGCGGAAGGAAGAGAGACAATGGGTCAAACGTGGATCGGGCTGGTGACGGGCGTACAGTGTGTATTATCGACAACCTCGGTGTCACTGTAGCTGCACGTAATGATTTTTTTTTTTTTTTTTTTTCTTTCCTTGCTCTGACTTGGCACAATCTGTAACTAGCGATAGCCCATAAGCTGTACACGGCAAGCAGGCTATTAGCTTTGTTTCTTTTTGTTCAATTTTGCTTGATTTCTCTTGCGCTGGTGTATGTGTAGCAATTTATGGAATTCCTTTCCGCGTGGGCTCGTTGAGGCCAATCGAGGGAATTTTCCACGCTCCGTTAGCTCCGCGCTGCAAAAATTACAGGGGGGGGGGCCTAGAGTGGAGTCGATTTCACGGGACAATTGATACCGATTTGACCGGGTTTTCAAGTGCCGGCTCGAAGATGTAGGAAAGACGTTGCCACTTGGACGATGACGAGTGGACTTTTTTTTTTTTTTTTTTTTTTTTTACATATCCAGTGTGTTTGACAATTCGATGCTTTAAGCGTTTAACTTGTGTGTAAGAATACCAATGTACAAAAAGGAGATCGGAAGGAATACAATGAATTCAGTTGAGTAAGGGCCTATGACTATACAACAACCGGATTCGGATTCAAGTGTAGTTTTCACTGAGATATACCGTTCGCAGATCGGTAAAGGGGGTACATGCATCTGTAAAAATAAATTGAGCTGACTAGTGCACACCAGATATAGCCAGAGAAAAAAAAAGAGATAGGGAGAGGGCGAGAGATTCTATACGTGTGTACATAAATATTTATGCACGTGGGTATACGTTCTTTTTTTTTTTATTCGGCATGGATAGGTAGAAATAGGTGTGCATAAATTTAGATATATTGTAATATGAGTAGGTATGTACAATGGAGCTCCAAACCTACGTTTGTCGCGGCCATGTTGGCGGGTCTCGCGATGCCACGGGGCGTCAACCTTCACTTGCAGTCCGACCGTATAAAGCGTATAATATATTATGCCACCACGCACATACCTGCGTAATAAATACCTGACACCTACATAACATATACACGTGGACACACTTGCTGTTTTATTTTTAGATCCTACTTTGAATTTTCGTATCTCATTCCTGATGGGAGGTGTGAATCTCGAACAACTGATCGTATACGGCCTTTTATCATACAGTTGTAATCGCGCCTGGGATAATTGTTTCCGGTTCTTTTCATTTTCATGCACAACTAGGTAAATACATGAATATTTATATTGCTATAAACACTTGGATTCGGTATAAACAGGTAATACAAGTCAACGAGTCGATACTGTGTGTTTATTACCTCAAGTACCGTAAACTGTATGTCCGTACATCGTTGAATGTAACTCAATCATTAAAATATAATAGATGATAACTTTTTCTCAAACTAACCGAAAAACTAATTTTCTCAATCGCACGTCGCACTATATCGTATCGGGATGAAGTCGAAAAGATGTATCGTGTCTCGGTAAGATGGAAAAACAATCCGAACCCAAATTAAAATACGACTAGTCATACATCGTAAACACACGGCTTTCGTCACGGTAAAGTAAGCGGCGGTGATTTCCGTAAGGGTCAGTTTACCGTGCAGTGTACGATCGAGGTGTACATGTTAATAACTAAAAAAAACAAAAATGCCTTCAAACGATCTAGTGGGTGGTTTTCTTTTTTTTTTTTTTTTTTTTTAAATGGTCCCAAAAGGTTGTCTGTTTTGGACCTCCTCGCAACTCGAAAAAAAATTATTTATTTGTAAAACGAGCCATACAGCTGTGCCCGTGCTCCACAAAAGCCAGACACCCATGGAAGAGTACAGGAGAAAGACGCCATATAGTTTGGGCCCGCGATGGCGCACCAGATTTTCCCCAAGGGTGGACGGGCAGCCCGGACATCGGCAATTCATTAATCGAGCGAGCGAGGCTCCGAGGGAGGCCAGTCCGCTTCTGAAAACCCAAACGCTCGCCTGTACCGGCAAATGGGTCTGTATGGGTGCACCAGCCGCCATCGCCCTGTGTGTGTATCCCTCGAGCGTTGGGTCGTCGAGGGACTTGTCTGCTGTCGTAATGTCTCGGCTTAGACCTTCCGACAGAGGGAAATGGGTGAAAAGCCGAGGGCCCAGAGGAGCTCGAGCAATAAGCTGGGAGGACCGGGCCCCGGTATAGGGAGGAGCGATCCTCACAAATTGACGAGTAATACCCCTTGCTCGTGGGTATTTCCAATGACTCGTGCACGGGGGCCTTGGTGTTCTTGTCGTATATACCCATGTTGCCCCGAAATGACAAATTTGGCGGAAACACACGCGGGACCAGATGTATTCTTTTTTTTTTACTCTTTTGTGCCTGTTTACGCGCGCTTGTAACGATGCACACCCACACCATATTATAATGGCACTGATTTCCATGCATTTACAGTAGATTAGTGGGACTGATTGACGATTTTACCTTTGTAGTTTTGTGTTTGTTTGTTTCGAGAACTACTCCAAAGAGTACATGAAAAATAAATGTCCCTTGGGAGTATACCAAACAATCGAGCATCTTCTTTTCTGGATATTTGGACATAAAAATTTCGCCGTTAGTGCGGATTGGGAAAAGTGTTGTCAACAGCGAAGATGCCATTCGGAGGATGAGACAGGAAAACAATGAAAATTCCTTGAAACGAGCTTAAAATGATGTGAGTCTACCCAGAATCAATAAAGTACAACTATACTTGCCTTCTGGCGTCATTACCTATACATTTATAATTTCGGTCCGAAAAGGGACTACGATCAGCCCCATCCCTCTTTTCCAAAATTTTTACTTCAATCGCATCGTCGATTACAAAGATAGGATAGTGAACACGGGTATGGTCCGAAACGTATACAACAACACCGGCGAAAAGTAAAAGCAAGTCTGTAGGTCCTTGCTCTTGGAAAAATCGTCTCCTCTTCGTAAAATATCGTACGTGTATATAGCTGCAGTCCCGTTCTCGTCTGCAAAGGGTTGCAGGGGCGTGACCCATCGGGGAGCCATTAGCGCGCCTATAGGTATTCCCGTACTTTGACTTATTGGCGACGGACCCCCTACTAACCCGATCCGGAGACTTCGACTTGGACGCGGTTCGCCGCAAAGCAGCCGCAACGTGTTTTCATGCGTACACCTATACCTGAGTAAAACAACACGGTACATGCGTATAGTTAGTGCACAGTATGAGACCGGTGGCGGCGTCCTTTAACCGATTCTTGGCACTTTTTCGCGGGTTTGACCCCAAAGGTATATACCTGGAAATTTATGGACATAACGGCTGCATAGGGTTGAGATGACGAGGGCACTCGTATTCCACGAGAGTTGGCTCGTCCTCACAGGGAAGCACTTTTTGTATCGAGTTTAGTTAATTTTAAACATTTTTGCATCCAACCAGGACTGATTGCTGCCATCTAACCGTTTGCAAATATTTTTTCGAGTTTTTATGACCATAGTACAGTTGGTACATCATTGAAACTATCGTTTACATAGACCAAAATGAGCGAGAAAAGTGTGACTTGCGGTTTTAAAGGTGACTTGGAAATTCGGACTAAATACTGGATTTTGAAAAATCACCGAAACAAAACTTGCAATCAGCCTCCTTCTTTCGTTAATAGCGGAATACGCGCGTAATTACGTATACTTTACCAAGTGGTCCAAGTGGCATCGCGATATTTGTCTCTTTGTTAAAATGATTTTTCTTTTGTTTTTCTTCAATCTACAAACAAATAAGAGGTGTTGGTATGTATTTTGATTTTTTTTTCTACATTTATCCAAGTAGTTCGCGAGAATAATATAAAAAAGGTCTTCCCGGTGTCACCATGGACATTTTAATTTGGAAGTGCAAAAAAATGTCCACAACCGATATCAGGGTTGGGTGCAGAAAGAACAAAAAATGTTTTTTTTTTTTTTTTCGCGTATTTTCTTCGAGCA